GGTTTAAAATACCATACCCAACCCCAGTTGCCCCCTATTTATTGACTTGACCCCACCCCCTCCCCCCCGTGACACTAAACCTCAATCTGCCACTGGCTCTCCCATGGCTGAGGGCCCTGCGGCCCTTCGCTACGCTACTGCCCACAATATGTACATTTAGAAAATAATGCTTCTAGATTCGTTTTTCTTAATTAGTAAAATCATAATCATAACAGATAGTCTGGCAGATATTTTTTTCGAAAAGTTTTTTAGTGATGTTGATGCTCTTCTTACTAAAATTGAGAATAGAAGTTCTTTAATTGGTTTTAATTGCCAGCAGTGTGTTAAAAAATGTAAGTCACAGAAAGGGCTCAGGCGCTACATAACAACTTACATAATAACACATAAACAAATTAATGTATTTAGGTGATAAAAAGACTAATTTAGTAATGACCATTTCGTTTATTTCTAACCAAAGTATTAAACTTATATCAGCATATTAAATCATACTGAATTTATGGTGAAATTACAACAGCTCACAGTGGTCCAGGTGGTGGACAAAACCTAAAAAATAAATGTTTATTATATTCAAAACCATATAATAAAACATATTTGTAATACTCTCATTTAAAATTTTGAATATTGTTTTTTGAAGGGAGGTCCAAATAAGCTCCGGGGGGTCGGATTTTGAGTATAATAGTATCTTTAAAACCACAAAAATCAGTTGCAGTTTGATGAATGATAAAAAACTTTTCTTTTTTTTTTTAAAAGTGTGAAATTTTTTTTTTTAATTCATAGCTATAGTAAACAGTAACTTTAAAAATTTTAAAAAGACCCGGGGGGTCGGGCTATCCCCCCATAAAATTTCAAAATTTTCAATTTTTTTTTTTTTTAATTTTAACTCTTTCAAATTATGCAGAATCATAAAATTTGTTTTGGATGTATCAGATTAATCTTTAACTATCTTAAATTGTCTACTTAAGTTAACCACCTCTTAAGTAATTTCCTTAGCAACGCCATAGCAATGCACTTAAACAATTTTATACACCATACTTTTACTTTAATTTCATCCAAAATAGTGTTACACTTGCAATGCATAAGCTTGAACAACTTCTTGATGCGTTTTTCTAGAATTTACCAATACCTTGGTACATCAAGTACGACAATATTCTTCAGTTCAGTCAGTTCTTGAGATTTTATTAGGTTAGTTTAATTAGTAAAAATGGGAAAAGCTTGTCGAGTTAAGAAATGTACACAAACTCATAAAAAAAGGAAAAGGTTTATGGGAAATGTTAAAAATTCTGTTAATACTGTTATTGTATCTGATAGTACTAATATCGAATTGCCGACAATAAATCCAAGTGCCCCTAACATCACTTGTGTTACTGAACCAATTTTTGAAAATCCACCTAATTTATCAGCTTCAGCTCATAAAATCGAAAACTTAAAAGATAAAATTATTTCAAAACCTGCCATATCTGGTTATCGTATAATTTATGTTGCTGTTTTAATGTCTATTTTAAGTTCTGTTTTGTGTCCAGAGTGTGGTTGTTCAACAATCTCACTAAGTGAGAGATATACTCAACGACGTGGTTTATCTTCCTTACTATATCTTAAGTGTATGAAAAGAGCTTGTAACCATTTTCAAAAGTTCTACACTTCTAACTATGACAAATATAAAAGGATTTGTTATCAATAAACAAGTAATTTATTGTATGCGATTATTGGGTCATGGATATGCAGGCATCAAAAAATTTTGTACCATTATGAATCTACCTAAGCCAATGACCAAAAACAATTTTGAAAAACTGATAAAAGTAATTTCAAAAGCTGTTTAAAATGTAGCAGAACGAACAATGTTAAATGCTGCTAAAAAATTGCAAAATACAGCTTTGAAAGTAACCGATATTTATTTATCTTGCGATGGAACATGGCAAAAACGAGGATACTCATCACTCAATGGAGTCTTTTCTGCCATCTCTACTGCTAGTGGCAAAATTTTAAATGTTGAAATCATGTCCAGATATTGTAAAGGTTGTAATTTAACTCAAGGTCTCTAAAAATCTGATCCAACTGGTGTTGGCATCTTTATTTCATGTTGCTTCCTCAAAAAATAATAGCTTACATTTCCCACACTGCCTCACTGGTGCAGACAGCTGGTGCAAATACAATGCCAATAAAATAAATAAGACATCAACCTATAAGCCGGAACCGGGTTTACCAATGGATGTCATAATGAAAGTAAGAACTATATTTAAAGATTTAAGGAAAGACATTGAGTTACAAAAATGTTTGCACGGTAAGACACAAAATGCCAATGAGTCTTTTTATGGAATGATTTGGAAGCGTATACCAAAACAAACATTTGTATCACTTACCCAATTAACAATTGGTCTATATGATGCTGTTGCCAATATTAATAATGGAGCAAAAGCATCTATTGATATTTTGAAGCAACTGGACATGGAACCAGGCTTTCATATGATTGCAGGATGCAAATCAATAAATAATGAAAGATTACAAAAAGCAGAAATTAGAATGAACCCTGTTAAAAAGTTAAGAAGGCAAGTATTATGTGCCAAGAAACTGAAGAAGAATGAGTGAAATGAATGGATTGGAATTTATTTATTTTATTAAAAATATATATATATGACCTAAAATCGATGAAAATTTTGAACATGATCTTTGATTGCGCCATTTTGATGATGGCAAAATGTTATGAAAAATCTGATCCATTCATTTCACAGCCCTACTTTATGATAATATTGTATTAAAATTTTAAAAGGTAAATATGTACACATATTCTTATATTTTGGCCAGCGTGAAAATATTTTTTGGTCATTTTAGGGGTATTTTTTGGTTACCAAGGAAACCACCAATTTTTTAAAAAATTTTTTTTTAAAAAGGTTTATATTTTACTAAAACCTAGAAACCCATAACATTTTTTTTTTTTTAATACTTAGATTTAAAAACAGAGGGGGGTAGCCCCTTAAATCATACTGAATTTATGGTGAAAGTACAACAGCTCACAGTGGTCCAGGTGGTGGACAAAACCTAAAAAATAAATGTTTATTATATTCAAAACCATATAATAAAACATATTTGTAATACTCTCATTTAAAATTTTGAATATTATTTTTTGAAGGGAGGTCCAAATATGCTCCGGGGGGTCGGATTTTGAGTATAATAGTATCTTTAAAACCACAAAAATCAGTTGCAGTTTGATGAATGATGAAAAACTTTTCTTTTTTTTTTTAAAAGTGTGAAATTTTTTTTTTAATTCATAGCTATAGTAAACAGTAACTTTAAAAATTTTATGAGCTTATGGGATTAGTTTATATATTTAAACTATTTAACAGTAAAGCTTTATGAAAAAAGTATAAAGTAAAGATCAGCCATTATAATACACTTCTAATCTGGCTTTAAAATAGCGAGGTAAATTTTTAACATTTAATACTTTTATTTTGTACAAAAATTTTATTTTGTCACATAATTTAGGCAACCTACAAGAACCTATATTAAATATTTGAACTTGTAAATGTAATATGTATACAACCTATTTGAACTATTTACATCGTCTCTAACTTCCCCTTTTGAGTTTCTTTAACATTTTAAAATAATGACTTGTAACTTTGCTTAAAATCAACTTTTATTTCTCGTAAACAAAAATACATATTATTTTGTTTGTTATTTTATTCAATACAAATTGCACTGTTAACCTAACAATTTTTTTGTTTTTTTGTTTAGTAATAATATAAAAATTGGAGACATTTACGGACATATACGACATATACAACAAACTAGTTTCAATGATATACTATTCTTTTCATCAAAATTAACTGTTTTTTTTTCTGCAGATATTAAACTAGAGGATTCTGAGTGAAAAACTTTATAAAATTACATTGTAAAAAGTCGATAGCTGCAAACAATGATAACACTCATTTCGAGAGAAGTAATGAAAATTGGCTGGCTTAAGATTTTTAATACACCTACAGTACAATAAATGCTACATCATCAGTTAACGAAGTTGGGAAACCATGTTGAATAAGTTTAATTTATGGCTGAATAAAATATGTTTTTTAATATTTTATTTAGCCATAAATTACTTCATGCAACAAAATTGAAACTAAGAAGTGAGTTTAAGTACAAAACTGGCACAAAAATTTCTGTTATATAAAAAAATTCGTTATTATATATAAAGATGATAAATAACCTATAGACTTATTCAAAACGTCGTGGGCATTTAATAATATCAATAATAGAGTTTCAAATCTATATATTCATTTGTATTTTCTACATATTTCTATATATTTATCTATATATTTCAAATCTATTATATAATATCGATAATAGAGTTTCGAATCTAGTAATAAATTTTCATTTTTTCTGAAGTAAGTGTGCATTTTTATTTTTAAAGTTTGTTGCATCAATTTTTTTAAAAGTTTATTCCACCAGAAGAGTTTGTTATGTTTTCAATCCAATAACTTCTTAAAATCAGTTCGATGATTTTAAGAAGTTTTAGGATTTGAAATTAAAAAATTTCTTTATAAAACTTTAAAAATCCGCGTTTTTAAAATTTTATAAAGTTTGTTAAATAATTTTTAGAATTAGCAACTATTTAACTAAAATATTAGAAAATGCGCATTTAACCGCATGCCACAACGCTAGAACCAAAATAGTCATATGCCTGTTTTGTAAATAGTATTAGTTTTGAATTATGAATTATAAACTATCTTTACAGTCCCCACCCCACCCCCCACCTTTTATTAAATACCCTCTGATCTTAAAGAAAATTCTCACCTCGCCCCCTTTTATTAACACAAACCTACCCCCACCCCACACACCCAAAATCCACCCCACCCACTTAAATCCACCCCCTTCCCTCCTTGTATCAAGGAATCGAGAGTAAAATGCTATAATATTGTAGTTTCGATTTATTTTTTTAATTATTGTTTATTTGTTTGTTTTTATTTATATTTAATAATAAGTTTGTTTTTATTTATATTTAATAATTTCTTTAGATTGTCGAAGTAAGAGTTACGGAAACGATAATTTATTCATTGAATGTTTTTATGAAAGTCAATCATCATTTACTGAGGAAATTGAATCATTCGTCGATAAACAAGATTGGCGTGTTACAATTAACGATGGAAAATCTTTTTTAAAAACAGCTTGGGATTGTTATTTTGTAAATCATTTCATAAAATCCGGAAGAAAATTAGAGTTGTTAGATGTTTATAAAGATATTTTAAGCGATGACGAAAAAAATCTTTTAATTCATTGTTCTACGAATGTTCGCAATGTCAGCTTTAATCGTCCTATTAAATTCAATGGATGGAAACCGAAAAATAAAATTGAAATGTTGTATGTATTCTTCTCACTTTATTTAATATCGAAAAAAGATTTTGAAAAAAACATTCTTCCGTGGATTAATCTTTGTGAAGATTTATATCTTTACCTACACGACGACATTAGTTTTATTGAAGACATTCATGAATGGATTCGTCGCTCAAACATAAAGAAATTGTTGATCGGTTACCGTGGAAAATATTTTCATAACATTGATGCGTTGAAAGTTTTTATAACACGTAAAAATGTTTAATATCTTAAACATATCAAGTGAAAAAAATAATTATAAAATAATAAATGAAATAATTATTGTATTGTTTTTTGTTTTTTTTGTTTGTTTTGTTTTTTATCTTAACATTTCACTTCCAACAAGACTGCAAGCAACCACTATTAGAGTTGGAAGTTACTGAAAGAGAAAAGATGAAGTTTATTAAACAAGATAACGTTTAACAGGCGACTTAAAAGATTGCAAATTATATGAATCAAGAAAACAAAATGAAGGGTAGCGATTTCTAAAGAACTGATGTTCGAGGAAAAAAACTAGACAAATAAGAATTTTGGAGCACTTATGAACAATCACAGTAAAAGGATGAAGACTTAATTGAATGATTTTTTCTCACCTTTTTTTTGCTCGCCTTCGGACGGCAGTTTAAATCGGGATGATGGAGGTTACGTTACAACTTCCTTTTTTGGTTCGTCCGAAGGTGAGCAAAAAAAAGGTGAAAAAAAGTCATTCAATTAAGTCTTCATCCTTTTACTTTATTGTTCATAAGTGCTCCAAAAATTCTTATTTGTCTAGTTTTTTTCCTCGAACATCATTTCTTTAGAATTCGCTACCCTTCATCTTGTTTTCTTGATTCATATAATTTGCAATCTTTCAAGTCGTCTGTTAATCGTTATCTTGTTTAATAAACTTCATCTTTTTTCTTTCAGTAACTTCCAACTCTAATAGTGGTTGCTTGCAGTCTTGTTGGAAGTGAAATATTAAGATAATAATGGTGTCACTCCTTTGATCTTATGGTGTCACTCTTTTGATCAGACTTCTGTATGAGTGACACCATCCATACTAATCATTAACTTATTATAATAAGAAATAACATATCATTTTACTTATTATTATTATAGTAATTATTGTTATTTATAATTTTTTTTTGTTACTATTATTATTATTATTGTTATAAATTTTTACTATTGCTTATTATTTTATAATTTTATATATATATAATCCCGTGAAATATTGTATGAAAATTAATTTCAAATAAAGAGTTACATCCATAATAGAGTTTTTATTTTAATTGAATGACGAATAAAACGAGAATGAGTTTTAGTTGATGGCACAAGAGACGCTAGCTCTTTAGAGCAGCGCCTATTATAGTATTTATAGAAAAGTGAAAGAGAAGCAACATTATGTGACGATGGTTAAAGGTTGATTGCAAGAGTAGGTCCAACTGTTTACAATGCGTTTTTGTACCTTTTCTAAACTAGAAAGGTCATCAGTCGAAGATCCGCTCCAGATATGGTAACAGCATTCTATACAAACACGAACTTGAGATTTATAAAGATAAAAAATGGAATCCGGAGTAGAAAAGTGTTGAGCACAATATGAAGATTCAACCTTAACAGATGCTAATTTTGCATTGGATTTGATATATCCAAGAAAGATCGAAAAAGTTAATCCAAGAAGACGAAGGATAAATGACTCATTGAGTACATTACCATTCGTAAATATAGAAAGATCTAAATTGTTACGATAACGGTTAGCTGAAATAAATTGAGTTTTATCTGAGTTAAATTTCACCAGTCACTAAAAGCCCCAATGTTGTAGCAGAAGTGAAATACTTTTCAAGCAATTTTAGAGTGTAAGCTTCTTATTAAGACAAGAATAAGTGGTAGTATCATCAGCGAACAATGCCACCTTAGATATGAGAATTTCTGGGAGATCGTTAATGTAAATTAAGTATAGGGCTAAGGATAGAATCTTGAGGAACCTCTAAAGTTACAGGAAATGAAGAAGAGTGCTTTCTATCGAGGACAACTTTTATACTACGATTGGTAAGAAAGGATTCAATAGTCCTAAAGATGTTACCTGATACACCGTATGAAGAGAGCTTATGGAGAAGACCGCCGTGTCAAACTTTACCAAAGGCTTTAGAAATGTCGAGAGCGATTGCCTTAACCTTTCTACATCTATCTAAATCACGATTAAATCATTGGTTATTACCGTTGCCGAATCAGCAGTCAGAACTAATCACAAATCAGAACAAGAAAATCGGAATCCATATCGATGATCAGAGAATAAGTTATTAGATTCAAGATGAGAGATTGAGTATTCGTTAACTAAAGACTCAAAAACATTGTTTATGATAGGAAGAAGACTAATGGAACGGTAGTAAGACGAGTCAGATTGCTCTTCAGAATTTTTGAAAATAGATATAACAGATACCGCTTTCCAGCAGGCTAGAAATTTTGTATCTATGTTCTGTTTTATTTCATCAGGCTGGAAATTTATTAGGGTAATATGAGCACCTTAAGCGATAATTGGAATTTTTTCAAAAATAATTATGCTGGTCCGAAATTTTAGCGGATAAACAATTTTTAGGGATCCCTACTCATGATTCACTGAGATATTTGTTCAATCGAAATTTTTTCTTAAAAACACAGAGTTTTTCAATTGAAATTTTTTCTTAAAAACACAGAGTTTTTCAATCGAAATTTTTTCTTAAAAACACAGAGTTTTTCAATCGAAATTTTTTCTTAAAAACACAGAGTTTTTCAATCGAAATTTTTTCTTAAAAACACAGAGTTTTTCAATCGAAATTTTTTCTTAAAAACACAGAGTTTTTCAATCGAAATTTTTTCTTAAAAACACAGAGTTTTTCAATCGAAATTTTTTCTTAAAAACACAGAGTTTTTCAATCGAAATTTTTTCTTAAAAACACAGAGTTTTTAAAAAAGTAACAAAAATGCTCATATTACCCAGACCAATTGGTGAGCGCTTTAAATTAGCTTAAAAAAATAACATTAATTTAAAAAAATACCTGACAATTAGCACTAGTTTTTGAAATAAAACGAATTGTTATTAACAAAACTTATCATTAAAAGATTAAATTTTAAGCCGCTGTTTGTTGAAACAATTATACTATGTTTTCTGTAACAACAAAAAAAATTAGTTCGTTATTTTTTCAATTTTATTAACTGAAACCTTTGAACAATAAAAATTCAAATTGTTTGAATTTAAATTACAGAAAAATATTTAGCATTGTTAAAATACTTAAATTTTTTACTATGTTTTTATTCAAAAAGCAATTAAAACCACTGCTATTTTAGGACTTTAAACTAGGTAATTTCAATGATAAACACTGGGTAATTTGAGCATGCTAATATTACACAAAAATGGCATCTTTAAATGCATAGAAACTAAATATTTTTATGCGTTTTTTTTAATCAAACAAAAATGAATTGGATTTTTAGCTCACATATTTTTCTTAAGAAAAAATTAATTTCATTTTGGCACCAAAATTTTGCGCCACAGATTTATTCATGCGTGATGATATTATTTTAACAACTGTATATGTATAATATAATTCGTTTTAAATATACGAATTAATTTTTTATTAGATTGAAAACTTATAATCTTCTCAGCCGGCACATTTGGTATTGTAAACAGCCAGAATATTAAACACATATTACATACCGCTGTTGATACCAGAAAAATGTGCATCTAGTTTTTAAGTTTTAAATTCAATAATCGCATAATCGTTTCCGGTATTGTTCAAATATTAAAGACATAACAGAAAAAATAAAATTTGGCGTGCAAAGCGCATGCGACCACTAAAATCGCTAAATTTAAATTAAATTCAACATGTTCTGTGAAAAGTAACTTTTATAATTATCTTAAATTATAATCTAGTTTTAATACAATCTTGTATTCTATATCTATATTCTGTCAAGAATATTCACAAACTTCAGGGATTCACAAAAAGCTAAGTAATTTCTAAGTCTTCATGTGAAATCCTTTAGCAGACAACATAACACATCTTCATTTTTTTTGCATTGGAGTAGCTTCTGGAATGGCAGATGTTTTTTTAATAACAGAAAATTTTATATAAAAAGTAAAAAAAAAAATGAAAAAGAAAAGGCAAAAAAGTTTTTAAATAAAGAAAGAAATGAAAAAAACAGAGTTTCCAATTATGGGAAAGAAACAAGTGAAAAATTAAAAAAGAAAAACGGACAAAAATTTTGAAAGAAAGAAAAGAAGAAATTTATGAAAAAAAGTTAAATTAAAAATAAATATAAAGTAATATAAAAGAAAAAAAACATAAAAAAAAACTTAAAAAAAACAACTCATTTCTTACTTAATATGAATAAAAACAAACAGTAGAAAAATTTAATATTTATTATTAAGTGTTATGTTTACTAAATCATATCTATAGTATATCTATAATCACAATTTGTTTCAATTAATGACTCAAAATCTCCCCTTGTAAAACGTTTTAATGGTGTTCCTCCGGGTTCAGTATTAAGACCACTGCTTTTTCTTCTTTATATTAATGATCTTCATACATTCATTAAGTTCTCTACTGTTTACCACTTTGCTGATGATACTAATCTAATGCTAATTAATAAATCCCTTAAAAAAATTAACAAACACATTAACCATGATCTTGCCAATCTAGTTTAGAGGCTTTGCTCCAACAAACTTTTTCTAAACTCTAATAAAACTGAACTCATTATTTTTAAATCAAATAAAACAAAAATCTATAAACATATGAACTTTAGATTAAATGGCAAAAAATTGAACCTGTTAACTCAATTAAATACCTTAGTATAAAAATTGATTCCAATCTTTCCTTTTTATCCCACTGTAAAGACTTAGCCATGAAACTAAGTAGATCTAATTGCATGTTAATCAAAATTCGACATTATGTTAATCTTGAGACACTCTTGAACATATACCATGCTATTTTTGGCTCACATCTTAGATATGCATGCTAAGTATGGGGGCAGTCCAATCAACAAGCTCTTATTAGGTTATCCCATCTCCAAACCAAGGCTTTAAAAATCATTCATTTTCAGAATATTAAATTTAATCCTAATGTGCTTTACCTAACTTCTAAAGTATTAAAACTATGTGACTATATTCAACTTTTAAACTGTCAATTTGTTTGGAACCACCAACACAATAACCTACCTTTAACTTTCATTAATTTCTTTTCTAAAAGTGCCAACACTCGTTGTCACCTTCGTTTTGATAGTAATTTAAACCTGT